TAGCCAAGCTAATGTATTAGCACTGAACTCTTAAATCTTCCTCTGTAAATCAATCCTTCCAGCCCATGATATTTGCTGCTCTTTGTTATACTAGCATTGCTATATTATAATATTGTTCAATGCATAAAAATTTTTTGGTATGCAGGAACCCAGAACCAATAATCCAGTCACTAGAACAGTATAGAGAGACACTATTACACCTCTACCCCGATATAACACGAATTTGGATATAACACAGTAAACCAGTACTCGGGGGGGGCGGGGGGGCTGCGCACTCCGGCAGATCATAGCAAGTTCGATATAACACGGTTTCACCTATAACGTGGTAAGATTTTTTGGCTCCCGAGGACAGCGTTATATCGAGGTAGAGGTGTAATTCCATGCTCTGTGATCTGACATCCAGGAGCAGCTCTAGCTTTTTTGCCGCCCCAAGCACGGCAGGCAGGCTGCCTTCGGTGGCTGCCTGACTGCCGCCCTTGCAGGGAGCTTGGAGCGCTGGTGCCGCCGCTGCTGACACCTTTGCACTGGGCTGGTTTCTTGTTATATTGCATTGTGAAGTCATATTCAATTTATTTCCCCCTCTCACTCTCATCACAAGTTCTCTTTTGGTATTAGTGCTTTCCAGGTTTTCCCCTTCCTAGCTCTCTGTCTATCTTAGGTACTTATATGGCCACATCACTGAGCACCTCACAATCTTATATGAATTTATCCTCACAATACCCCTGTGTAGGGAAGTGCTGTTATCCCTATTTTACAGATGGGGAACTGAGGCACAGAGAGACAAAGTAACTTGACCAAGGCTGCACAGCACCCCCCAAAAAGAAATGGAAATGAAAATTACTCTCAAGTAAATTTACCCCCCCCCCCATGTTTGCTGAACATGAAAGACTGGCAGGCTTGTGCAGACTGTTCTCTTCATTTCTTTGGCTTGGTCGGAGGGCCTACTGGTGAACTTCAGATTGTCCTTTTCTCAAACAATCTGCTTCCACGTCAGGAAGCCAAAAGATACTTAAAAAAAGTCACCTACACTTCCAGTTCAGCCATCACAAACCATCCTGTCATTATTTATAAGTGATATAGTTAGGCTACAAGCACTGCCATCAGGGATGCACACACAACTAACTCCTATTTAGTATGGTGAGGGGGATTGCGGGACAGAATTTGAAAAAACATGGAATTGAGAGAAAAAGGAAATATTTAGAGAGACGAAAGGGGAAACCACACACACAAAGTGTTTTATGAGTTTGGATTGTATGCTTTTGAGGACAGCAACTTTGTCTTCTTACATGTCTACAAAGCACCAATATCCTGCCATTGCATAAATGGTGCTTTGAAGACATTACATAAATACCCAGTAATTATTAATTCAAGCTTCTTGGCATTACCCTGAAGGAACAGTCCTAATGATTTGGACACCTATTAATAATTATTTATTATTATTATTATAGGTAAAGCTATTGCAGCTAGTCATCTTATCAATGAGCTTCTAAGAAATGAATGAATGGGGACTTTATGCAGTACTGTTTCTAAAAGGAATCACAGCACATGCATGCTAAATGCATTACACAACAATCTAAATTCTGTGTGAATTCCTGCATCCCTCCTCATTAGAATGGAGAGGAAGAAATGTTTGCCACAGGTTTTTGGCTGGCATAACTGGCTTCACATACTTATGGACATTTTCCCACTTAAGCCAACCAACTAATTGCAAAACAACTATTCACCTATCTTTTGGACTTACTTTTATTCTACAAAACCTCATAGATTTCAAGGGGGAGTTCAGTGACCCCACTGATTCTCATGGTGCTTGGTAAATACCACAGACAGAACACGCCCCTGACCATCTAACTGTGGGACTAATCACAGTTTGTTTTAATGTGGTAGGAAGCAATAGTTAGCTTTAAAAGAAAAAATGGGGTAGAGGGGGAAGCACAGTCATATTTTATTTCTACCTTGCAAGAAAACATTTGAAATGCTGTGTTTGTGTTTTGCCACTGTAACCTTAATGCTTTAATGGAGTACTTCAGAATAATATATAGCATCTGGGTTTCTCTTGCTTCAAAAACTTTACAGTACTGTACATTTAATCATTTTAAGATGTCAAAGTTTTTAAAAAATAAGGGACCTGAGGCTACAATTTTTTAATAAGAGTGTGTGTGTGTGTTCATGTATCAAAGAGGTTGATTCACAGCCTAGGGTATATTGTTATGTAGGCTACAGTTTTAAACATCATGTGTAATGTCAAGTAATCTATAGCTACAGGCCTAGTTGCCTTCTGAAAGCACATGTTTGGAGCCAAGTAGCGCTTGCAATTTAGGGTTCTTGGTTTAAATTAATCTGAGCTCACAAACGACATTAATGAAGGAGTGTGCCTTTAAAACACATCATGGTAATACAGCAGTCTAAACAACAAAACCACCAGAAAGAATTCAGCTGAGCTTGCGGTCGTCATTTCTCCTGAGAAATTGAGGAACACAACTGAATAATGCCTCATACATACAGAGGGTCAGGGAACTCAGCTTATTTTAAAGCTGCCTCCTCTATCAGGGCTGGCTGGCTGGCTAGTGGATTTCAGCTTCCAGTTCTGCCAAAACCACTCAGACTTAATACTCCCAAAAGCCAACAAATCTGCAGGGGGTTTGCTTCTCATACTTTGAAAAACCAAATTACAGAAATCCATCTGGTTACAACCCTCATGCATGAGCCAGAGCACGTTGTACAATGCTAGTTGTAAGGAAAATTCATTTCACTTTTTGGATTTCAAAAGCACCAATTAATACACATGTATTTCATGAGACCAAGAAAGTTCCTTCTTGAGCACCCTCGGCTTGTATAAGTAATGGTCTAAAGCAGTAATAACTTCCAAAGAGAAGACGGCCTCAGGGGTTAGTATAGTATTGAATTAGCCTTTCCCCTTTGGAGACACAATTTCAAATCCTATTTAAGTGCCAAAAATGAAAGTGAATTTGCTGATCCAAGTTGTGTGCTAATCACCCTTTGCACACATCAGGAAACCACCACAGCGCTGCTCTGGACAGGTTCAGAAAAAGCCATGCTATTGCAGCTAACAACAAATATGGGGTAGGAGTGATTCGTGCGTTCAGTAACCCACACGTTGCTTGCCTCAGGCAATTTCAACTCTCTTCAACGGACCCCAAGTTCCTTGCTTTTATGAGGACTAAATTCAGTCACAAGTTTAAACAAAAGAAGAGCCAGTGCACTCTGATTCCCATTCTCGTGGGCTATTTTATATTGTTCTTCTCTAGCACCCACTGAGCAGAGAAGCAGCTGCTGCCCATCTAGTTTACACTTCTACAGCCAAGGTATTTTATCAAGGCATGGTTGCTGTTCTATATAGCTTCTTATCTGGGTAGCATAGACAAGTGAGCATCTTTTCTTCTTGAGATAGCAAAAAAATGAGAGGCGTTACCTCCTTCCGAACCTATGGCAAAAATAATCAAATACTTACGTCTCAGAGAATTGTTTACTAGTTCACAAATCAATTTTATTAATTTAAAACACAAAGTTAATGAAGAAAAATTCTGTACACAATTGTGGACACAACACACTTTTTTGTACAATAAGGCCAAGATAAACTGTTTTTTTTTCAGTCTGCAAAATGACTACAAAAAATGAAAAGACAAAAAACTGTCACTCTCTACTTTGCTTGAAGCAAAGAAAAAAAAATCTAATTATAGCCACAATCCTAAAAGAACTACACACCATGTGCTTAAACTTTATGCACTGTGAGTAATTCCCTCAACTTTGTTAGAACTACTCACACTAAGGCCTTGGCTACACTGGCAATTCATAGCGCTGCACTTGCTGCACTCAGGGGTGTGAAAAAACACCCCCCCGAGCGCAGCGAGTGCAGCGCTGTAAAGCGTCAGTGTAATCAGCGCCTGCAGCGCTGCAAGCTATTCCCTTTGGAGAGGTGGAGTACTTGCAGCGCTGCGAGACAGCTCTCGCAGCGCGACTACACTCGCGCTTCACAGCGCTGCCACGGTAGCGCTGTGAATCCGCGAGTGTAGCCAAGGCCTAATGTGTAAAATGAAGCACACGTGTAAGTCTTAGCGAGATAGGGGCCTTAGTTGATAATTAAGCAATTTGGAAAATCCACAAATGATTAACTAGCAGCAATATGAATCCTCCAACACAGGAGGGTGTTGCTTTGCAGCTACTTTGGTGCTTTGCAGGTAGCTGTTTAAAAGGCTGGTGTTGTTTTTTGGGGTGGGGTGGGGTGGGAGGGAAGAACAGAAAGGGGGAGTAAATTTTGAAGAATGAACCAACAAAACTGAGATTTCTTTTTAATGAAAAGACAGAAATCAGGGAAATGGAACTAGTACAAGTCAGGCCAAGATGTCAGATTCAGTTTAACTGACATTGCTCATGGCCTGTAAGATTTAGAAAAGTCACAACTCATAGGTCAGACACAATTTACGTTGATCATAGAAATTAATAGAGACTATGGAAATTTTACATCCTTGGCTGGTGACAACTATTTCATTGTGTCCATTGCCGGCAATGGATGTTACATACTAGGAAAATCTGACTCCTGGTGGAAGAGAATTAAAAAAAAGTTAAGTGTGTACACTGCATATAATTATGTTTTGCTCAGTTTTTCCAAAATACTCTTTTCTAACATGTAAATCAAAGCACATGCTGTAATTTTTGATTTTCTGACATGAAAACTTTGATTTGTTAGTCTCCAACTCAAATACCACTGTATAATGTATTTTCTATTCTCTAACTTCTTTTTATAGGAGGAGTCTCTTGATTCATTATTCAATTCTTTAAGGAGATTTAATACATTAGCATTAAAACAGAAAATGAAAGACAGTAAGGAACTCCTCTTCAATTAAGTTGTGTAGCACTGTGTACCTGTTTAATGGGGACACCTGGCAACCATCATTTTATAGTCAGAATAGCTGAGGGGGAAAAAGAGAAATAAGCTGAAAAAGAACAACAACAAATTCCTTATTGACACTTGACATCCATGCTTTTGGTCGTGACAAATTTATCTAAAAAATCCATTATCTACATATTTATACCCAACACTCTGATAAGGCACTGCACAATAGCTGTGTACACATTGCCTCAGACTTCACCAACAAGGCATTACTACCTCTCAATAGCATTTACTTAAACAATATGTAAAAGAATCATCCATTATTACAAATTTACACAAAAAATTCTTCCTGTACATGATTGTCTCAGTGATGTACCTATTTGTTTAAATTAGACATACTTTAAACTACTTTGCAATGTGCTAAAATCAAAAGTGTTTGCTGTATCATGAGACAAAGGCTTATAAATAGCCTTTAATCTTATCATACGTATCCTCAGTTATATGATGTCAAAACACAGTCTGTTCATAAATAAGTAAAGATGTACAGAGTACCCTGGGTATGAGAAACCAAAAAAGTAAACCTTCTTTACAAGAAAATTACTCCACTGGTATTTTGAAAAATTCAGTCTTCATTGTGCAATCAAGTTTGCTGTGTTGAAGAAGCTGTGTGTGTCACATTGAAGATTCTAAAAACTACAAAGCATTTGCAGGTCCTTTCTTTCTTCACAGGTATGAACCTTTTTTTTTTGTATCAAATGTGGTAAAACACGCTGTTAAAACATTCTCATGGCTTGTTTTCATTGGATTCGCAATACTAGAGTCAACAGCTGTTCTGAAGAAAAAGGCATGCTCCTCCATTTACTGAAAGGGCAAAGGTTAAGACCAATTGCAGCTGTACATCAACATGTTGAAATCACAAAATTCTGTAGTCCAATGCTGACACAAGACACAGGCATACTGTCCATGGGCATAAGGGAGGTTCTGGAGTTTCAAAGTGCTGCTAAGCTGCTACAAGTATTCCAGTTCCAAGGCATGATGAAGGGCCATAAGATCAGAGTGGCTTGAGATCCTCCAAAATGGCATGGCATGCTATGAACAGAAGAAACACAATGTCAAAAAAACTGAGCATTCTGGTCTGCAGGCCCACCCCATTGTCTTTTGCAAGAATAAGGTAACACTGCAAGAGAACAGCAATAATTCAGCTGCTCTCTAACTGTGCATGACTCAAGATGAGCTATAATAATTCATAACCTCTCTTCTCATCAATATTTCTCAGTGCTTCTAACTTGAACTCTCAGTAATATCAAATCTATTAATTTTAAATCACATTAGTAGGCCTTATTTAAAGAGTAATTTTTTTAAATTCCCTTTTCTAACAAAAGGGATTAGGTAAATTTCTCTATTACAAAATATATTTCTATAGAAACAAGGAAAACATTCTATCCTGCCCATGAAATACATGGCTGTACCAAAAAACGATGAAACTTGTTGACAAAAAAAAAAAAATGAAGATAAACTTGTTCACTGTCAAAACATGTTTAGTCTTTGAGAAACTATTAGGTGAGTTAAAGAACTCATTGGCAGTGATTCAGAATACATCAATATGCTATTCAAATCACGCAGAAGATAATTTTTTCCTGGTGGTTTGTATTATGGTGGTTATTGTTTGCACTGACCTTAAAACAGCTTTTCCATATGGGAGAATTTTAAAATGAATGTTTAATTTTTTCCCCATTAGCTGAAAAAAAAAATCTAGGTCTAAATCTTGAACATATTTGCAAGACACCTGAATAAACTAAAGACATGAATACCAGGGGGACAAACACAGATGACATCATCCATGAAGGGTAAAAATCTGATTGTGAAAACTCACTATCCTTAAGCTGCAAAGCAGGCACTACAATGTCAGCAAGAAGTTTTTCATAAATAAAAGAAAGAGAATTATCTCCTCTGTCAGAGAAAATATTCCATTAATCCCATAGGAAAATAGTTTCAATGCAACACATAATCGCAAGGCTACAATTAACATGTTTAATATTTCATTGGTTCAACTCACATCCAGCTGATTTGAGCACACACACTGAGAACAATGTAGGCATTACAATGGCTTCTGGGATTCTGTGGCACTTTAAGAACAGTTTCTGGGGCATGCAATTTTATTCTCCTTCAAATCCCTCCTCAAAAGTTCATGGGTGAAATCCTGGTCCTAACGAAGTCAATGGCAAAACCAGGATTTTACCTATGGTTATCCTTACAATGCATCTTCTCTCTGGCTTTCATTCTGGCCACTTCTCCTAATTTACAAGATGTCTAGCTATACATCAGTCTTGAAACCCTAGAGATCCCTTACACTCTCTCTAGTCCCTTGTTTATTGTAAGCCATTAATATGTTACTCTATGCAATTTAGATGGTAAGATCCCCCAAATGGGTCCATAATTTGTTCTTTGTCTGGAGAGTTTTGTGTAAACCACTGTGTAAGCAATGAATAACTGTGGAAGAATTTCGTTGCAAGCCTGGTAATAACATCATGGTGATCTGTGTTGGACTGAAAAAAATAAAACTGGAAAAATAAGGAGCTTAAGATAGGTAGGCGTGTAAATCTCTTTGAAAATAAATGGGAGTGCCAAATTTACATTGGCTCTTTTGAAAATCCCAGCCTCAAGAAACAACTCATATTGCCTGTTGAGGAGACTGAAAACAAGCAACCATTGCCCCACTATCCAGTGAAATACCATGCTGCAGCAGAACCTTGTTGGAGAGTGTTAATTAACTGGCAAAGGAACATCAGGGAGCCCTGGGGTAGCTGAAGATTGAGAAATGAGTGTAGGGCTAAAGTAGGGAGCAAACACAGGCAGCCAGCTTCCACAGAATGTTGTAATACAGAGCAGGTGAGCTTTATAAGAAGAAAAACAAAATCTTTGAAGAAGCCCTGATGGAAAGGCAGAGGGGAACTCTATCTTTTTCAGATTGTCACAAAGCCTTGAAAAAGAGCTAACTGCACTTCAACCTGAAGAGCAACGAATGAGCCATGAGCTAGTGATTTGCAGAGGCACTAGGGTACTTTAAGGTATTTCGGGAGCAGAATCCAGAGAAGCGTGGCAAAGCTCAAGTATATGCTTAGCCTTCTTCTAAGAGATCTAGAAACACTAGCCCTTTCCTCAGAGAAGGGCTAAATGGTCAACTAACTAGAGGACAGAAAATCCCTAGATCTTCAACCTAGATTTGCATTGTGTCATCTCCATGCCAAGATCCATCAGCAATGATAGCCAGATGTCCTGCTCATCCATTTCCAAATGACTGTCTCAATGCCGATTTCCACATTACCCCATATGCATGCAATAACCTCCCTCTTCTGGTCTGCAAAGCCATTTCTCTTCTCACACTTTCATCCAAATCCCTCCTAATGACACAAAATGAGTCAACAGTAAGGTTCGGGGGAAAAAGTTGCTAATTATTCAATCTGGGCTTCCCAGTGTATCTTGGCTTCTCTGTGTCTATTTTACTTAGACAGCAAGATCTTTGTAGCAGGACCTATCAACACCGTATGTCTTGCAAGATACCGAACACATTGTTGGTGCCAAACAATGTCCAAGGCAGAAGTGTTTATGTTCACATCAGGTTTATGCTGTTCTAGTTGAGCTGGCTGCATTTTCACTCATTTGTTTTTGCACCTCGCCTGAGCTGCTGCAGTTCTCCTCCCTAGTCCCCATCTGGCTCTTCTTCCAGAAGTGCTCCCTGTCTGGTCCTATTGGGATCCAGGAAGTAGCTCCCTGTCTGGTGCTAGGCACCACTTCTCCTTCTTCTCTGATTGGCCAGCCAGGAACCTCAGTCCTCTGCTTCTCTTTTTGAATCATGCATGCCACCAGGTCTCCCCACTGAATTATGCCAGGGAAAGATGAGCAAACAATGTACATGGTGCATGGAGCATGGTGACTGACATGGTAGTAAACACCTTGCTATTTACTAAGAAGTCAAGAGTCAAAGAGAAATGAATGAATGTCACAGGCAGGATTATAGTCAGGTGTTCCTGGCTCTTAGCTCCATGGTCAGCCTCCAAGATCATACTGCCTCCCAAGTAATACCCCCTACTGTCATGCTGGGTACTCATCAGATATGTGGAGCAGCTAAAGAATTTGTGTCAAACTATTTAATAAATTAAGTCACTATTACTCCTTTGTACTTGTGACGGGGTGTATAAACTATAAAATAGGGCTGAAGTGATTAAAGAACAACTCTAGACCCAGACGATTCCACCCTGCCACACCTGCAAAGCATGCTCCAGATGGAGGTGGAGCTTAAAAGGAAGGCAGACAGCTCAGAAGCTTGGACCACAGAGTGGGATGTTGGAGGTGGCCCAGGAAGGACAGCTGTAAAATGACCTTAGGGTTTCTAGTCTTTGCTAACCCACACAGGGCCCTGGACAAGTGCCCAGGGGAGTGGGAAGGCCTGGGCTCCCCCTACTAACCCTGTTCTACATTAAAAAAGAACCCCCCCCCACCCCCAGTCATTAGGCACACCTCCATGAAGCTCCAACAATCACAGTACTGCCCAGGTGCAGTATAGGTTATGGATTATTCTCTGTAGTCTGGGGTGTGATTCAGGACCAAAATCTCCAGGGGGGCTATTTCTGGGCTACTGACTGATCTTGGAAAAATCATTTAAATTCTCTTTGCCTTAGTTTCCCTATCTGTAAAGCAGGGATAATTCTACTTATGTCTCTGACAGGAGTATTGTGAGGATTAATTATGCTTGAAAGGGCCTATGAAAAAGAGTTATGTAAATGCTAGGCATTATAATTATGTTCAAGCCTTCTGTATGTAGGCCAAAAGGGCCCCTGGTTTACATTGCCAACAATGGAAACATGCCAAGAATGCTATAGCTGCAAGCATATGTCAATTTACACTGGAATTTTGTTAACAGGCCTGACCTGGCAAGATCAATGGTATACATTTTATACTGCGTGCGTGCATGTGTGTGTGTAATCTTGCCGTGGTCCAAAAACACAAAAAAAGAATGATTTTCACCTTAAATAAGGTAACATAAGTTATTGTAGAAATCTATCTATGCACCTTCATCTTTTGGTAGTATATACCCTACAAGCCAAACATGCATAATAATAATCTACCACAGAGAACACTCCCAGATTAGCAAACCTCTATAAAATGGGCAGATAATGACAAATCCAACTTGCTGAAAATAGCAACACAGCTCTGGGACCCAGCCTCAAAGCATTTGCTTTTTTCATTGGATAACCTGGAAGGCAGGGCTTTCATTGGTTTATTTTCATAGGTATTTGACAGACATTGCCTTTAAAAAGTAAGCTTTTGCTAGCAGTTACTACACAGTGGAATCTCATACATTTCAGGTATTTTCTATTCTAAGCATATTGAGAAATAGGAATACCTCACATACTGTTGGATGGCAAATCCAAATGCTTTGCCTAATGGCAGTGAGTGTAACTGGACTGCATTAATATCTAATAAAAAAGTGGAATACAGTAAATGTAATTATTGACTAGCGTAACATGTAAAGATTATGGAGCAAATTATCAAGCAATCAATTTGCAGACACCTAAAAGATAACAAGGTGATAAGTAACAGTCAGCATGGATTTGTCAAGAACAAATATTGTCAAACAAACCTAATAGCTTTCTTTGACAGGGTAACAAGCCTTGTGGATGGGGGGAAGCAGTAGATGTGGTATAGCTTGACGTTAGTAAGGCTTTTGATACTGTCTCACATGACCTTCTCATAAAACAAACTAGGTAAATACAACTGGAGCTACTATAAGGTGGGTTCATAATTGGTTGGAAAACCATTTCCGGAGAGTAATCATCAGTGGTTCACAGTCAAGCTGGAAAAGCATATTCAGTGGGGTCCTGCAGATATTGGTCCTGGGTCCAGTTCTGTACAACATCTTCATCAATGATTTAGATAATGGCAGAGAGAGTACACTTATAAAGTCTGTGGCCGATGCCAAGATGAGAGGGGTTGCAACTGCTATGGAGGACGGGATTGAAATTCAAAATGATCTGGACAAACTGGAGAAAAGGTCTTAAGTAAATTGGAAGAAATTCAGTAAGGACAAATGATTGCTAAAAGGATGAGTGTGAAAATGTTTTTTCCTTAACTCCGAGGATAGGACAAGAAGCAATGGACTTAAATTGCAGCAAGGGCGCTTTAGGTTGGACATTAGGAAATACTTCTTAACTGTCAGGGTAGTTAAGCATTGGAATAAATTGCCTACGGAGGTTGTGGAATCTCTGTACTTGGAGATTTTTAAGAGCAGCTTAGGCAAACACCTGTCAGGAATGGTCTAGATAATATTTAGTCCAGCCCTGAGTGCAGGGCACTGGACTAGAAGACCTCTCGAGGTCCCTTCCAGTCTGACAATTCTATGATTCTATGTACCTCTATTATTATTTCAATGGTCAAAATGAGATTTCCATAATATTTGTAAGTCTGAACATTTTGCCTATTAAAACTATATATTATGCAATAGAGCTTGTTGTAATTTTTTCAACAAAGCTTTTGAAATAAAAAAATGGTAGCCTGATAATTATTTGCTGAAGAAAATCGTTTTTTCAAAATGTTTCAATTTTGTGATGAACCTTTGAAACAAAAAATGTTGACAAAATTTTCAAAAATTTTCATTTTGACATTCTGAATAAAATCCAATTCACTTTTTATGTAGGAAATATTAAAAAAGGGGGGAATTTTCCTTTTTTGAAACAAGAAATAAACTCAATTTTTTCTATCAAGTACAAAACAAACAAAAAAGTAACAATTTTGAACAAAGTGAAAAATCTTGTTATTTCAAATATTTTTGCAAAACACCATTTTTCGATTGCATAGCACTGAAGGGCAAATTGTAAATGACATCTCAGTTTCCTGAAAGAAGTATTTGCTCATGACAAAGAAATTTATACCTGGGATTTTGTAGGGAATATGAATAAAAAGCCCACACATTTGTGCCTTCAGTCATGCCACCTTGTGCTGTGGTTCAGTTAGACCTCACTCAGCAGATTAGGAACTGGTCAATACCTAGTAGAGACTTTTCCTTAGATGCTGGAAGAAGTGATATAGCACGTGAATAAGTACTTAGCTAAGATCCCTGCACTGTGCTAAGATATACTGTGCTGTTGTAGGTGCCAGTTTTCTGACAAATTATAGGACCTAAATCTTCTTCACTTCCTGTCCTGAAATAAAAATGTGTAGCGTGCTCTGAGTTATTACATAGTGGCTATGTTGAATACCCATCATTATAGTATATGATGAATCACAAATATTAATGAATTTATTCTCACATCTCCCCTGTGAGGTGGAGAAGCATTATTGCCATTTTACAGATAGAGAACTGACTGAGGAACAGAGATATTAAGTGACTTCTCCAAGGTCTCTCAGGAAATCTGTGGAAGAACAGATTGAACCCAGATATCCTGAATTCAAGTCTAATGTCTTATCCACATGGCATTCTTCCTTCCCCTGATTGCTATATGCACTTAGTGAAAATCTTTTTGAGGGATCCTTTGGGCTGAAAGACAGTTTTCTACCTTCAATAAGAATATTTTGCAGATTTGCTTCCAAATGTATAAGCTAAAGAACAGTGCCTGTGGTACCAAAAATGGAGTTTTGGTGATAGTGGCTGTGACAAGACAGCAGGTTTTCTTGCAAAAAAGCCTACCGGTGTCACCTTATTTTGGTATCTACTATGTGACTCTAGCAGCCTTCAGATGTAGGAAGACAGCAACCTTCATGTGGCATGACCTTGAACTCTAAAATCCTAATTACATCAAGTGTTCTGTGAATTGATCCAGAGAAGGCTCCACAATTTACTATTGCTCCTTGGTCTGTACTATGAACGTGAAGGCCTGAGTATTTCAACTGTCTTATAAAAATGAGTTTTCAGGAAATAATGGTTTAGGGAAAGGTGACAATACCATGACTTATCCAGTGCTAAGTGAAATATAAGAGGGTGCAGTGTCCTTAGTGTATCACACTTATTTTCATCAATCAAAAGGAAAAGTGAAAAAATGTGGATTGTGAAAATCTTTTTAAAAAGAACTGTATTTATTGACTCAGCTTTATAATAATTACAAGAATTTATTTTAGATCCATCACCTGTACTGAACTAGCATTTTCAGTAAATAAAGGACTTGTAGGCAGGGGTGCTGGAACAATTTGTATAGTTGGGGTGCTGAGAGCCATTGAACCAAACTGTAAATCCTGTATATGATGGAAACCACTTCAAGCCAGGGGGTCGGCAGCACCCCTAGTTCCAGCCAGCACCTATGTTTGTAGGAACATTTTACCACCCTTCTACGATGAAGCAACAGGTCTGTTAGTGAAGTGGTTTTTAATACAGACCCTCATTTTCTCACTCACTAATCTGGAAGTTCATCACTGTTCAGTACTAGAACAGAAAATAAAAATCTGTGAAGTACATAGGTTGGCTACTTTAGAGGTCTCTGTGAATAAAACAATATTGTTCATTATACAGCACCACTGGAGTGCTAAATGCTTTACAAACAAGGAAAAAGAAAAGAACCCTGGTCTATAGAAAGTTTATATTTATTATTGAGCAGTACTATGTAGGGGCCTTCAATCATGGGCCAAGGCATGGAATGCTACCTGACATTGGGATAATAAAAAGACTGTCCCTGCCCTGAGAAACTCACAAACACACAGATTATTGGTGGGAAGGTAGGATGGAATGCGGTAAAAAGTTAAGTGGAGGAGTAGGATACTCTAATAGGTGTCTTCATAGTTACACCATTTTTGTCAAGTTTTTATTTATATCATTATAAACCTTCTACCATTTTGTTGGTGCTTCTCTGTGTGGAAGGTTAAGTGTTTTTATAGTATAATAGAGTTTTATCTCCCCTTATTTAAGCATAATATATCTGAATACAAATATGTACTCAAATGTTTAGTGCTTCTAGTATTGCTAAAATGTGCTGATGTATATAATTCTTCAGAGCTGAACAGTTTTTCACTGTGTTTATCATTCATGTATCTAATCATTTTCGGTCAAATTGTGGTCTAGTTAGCACAGTGGCTCTGGGGCATAATGGAGTGCAAGGCACCCACCTCATCTACTTGTCCTGGTTACCACAACATGGATAAACTTTGTGGAGCCACTGTGCTCCCAATTTACACAGGCGGGCTGAACAGGTGGCACCTTAGCTCTGCCCCCACAACGGGGCAGCCATCTTAGCTGTGCCAATGCACCAGGGAGTGTACATTGGACCAGGTGAAGTTTACCCCCTTCCCAGAGCAGCAGGGAATCTGGCAGAGAGATTGTAACTTGGAGTCACAATCTCACTCTGGAGCAAAGAATGTAGATCCTCAACCTCCTACATTCTCCAAATCTGAACATTCCTTCCAGCAACAAAGAACTCATGGAACAAATGCTCCGAGGGAACTTTCTCTACTACCTGTTCATTTAACAAATGGAAAGGCTTTCTTAGTTAGGCCTTCCTGCACGGTGTTTCCAGTTAAAAACTGCTGAATTAGGTGTTACTGAAAGAAGTACTTTTGTCACTGTTACATGGAATACTATTTCGCTGAGCAATAGAAAGGAACAAAGACGACAGCTTTTCCTGATCTTAAATGTAGCTGTTAAAATGTAATCATTTACAGCAGAACACTTCTCTGCAAAGATTAAAGTCATTTCTAAAGGGAGAAAGGAGGAATTTGTTCACTTTAGTGTGCCAAAGGGACACATGAAACTGACAAGTTCGCAAAGTGATGTAACAAGATGGGAAACTACACAGAAAGTTTCAGAGGGATGTAAGTCGGTATTTCATGTTGCAAAACCATTTAGTGTCACATCTTGTAAAATTGCCATGTGGAGTAATTAGTTTAATCTCTCCATTCAGAAAGCTTTGAAAAATGGTTCCTAGAAAGATATAGTATCGCCACTAGGATTTTCATCTTAAATTGGGAAAGAGAGTGCGTATGGAAAGGCAATTTACAAGAAAAATGAGGCAAGATAAGCTTCTTTGCTCCCATTTTTTCTTCTCTTTGTACTTGCTAGGATAATGTTCTATGGTTTCAGTCAAAGGCCTCAGACCAGGCCCTCTTCCCCTGCACTCTGTTAGATTGACATATTCAGTAGTAACTCCTAGCAGTAAGATGTAAAGTACTGCTTTTTGAGATGCCCACTCCACATTGCAAGAGAAGAGACAGTGATATTCCCCCTTCCTAATGGGGGAAGGAAAAAACATGTAAGCAGAGACTCAACTGCATCTTCTGCCAGAGCTAAAGCAACAGGGATTAGAATAGTAAGAAATAACCAATATTTGGCCAAAAATGCAGGCTTCCAATTTATGTACAGGCTGACACACGCTGAGGTCAACATTAATGTATGTGTTCCATTTCTCAGATACTCTTTCAAGGTGTAAAATTCACAAAACAATGCAATGTATATGAACAACACAAATTGTAATAGCTGTGCTTAAGTTTATTATATTTCATGGCATTAGGGGATGCCATTTAGAAAAGTGGAATTATCAGTTTTAGTCAAACCAGAATCCATACTTAACATCTTTCATACAGATATATTAGATATACATAGCTATCCTAATGCATCTTTTGGAGGACAGCAATAGCCAAGACCCAACTAGAATAGATCTGAGATCAGAATCAACCCCCAATGCATACAATCCCAGGTGTGAGAAAACGCACATCTTTACTTTCAAACATTTGAAATAAAACTGCACTGAAAAAGAATTACTACCTTTTTTGCTCCTTGTTCTTCTTCCACACCATCACCTATAACAACATACACTACTTTTCTTCCAAATCTTTGAATTATTCGCTCAAAACAACTTTCTTTTCCTGAAAAAGAAATTTAAACTATTAAGGATGAGATGGACATGACAAGTAACAGAGGAGTAGCCGTGTTAGTCTGAATCTGTAAAAAGCAACAGAGGGTCCTGTGACACCTTTAAGACTAACGGGAAGTATTGGAGCATAAGCTTTTGTGGGTGAATGACCACTTCATCAGACGCATGATGAAGTGGGCATTCACCCACGAAAGCTTATACTCCAATACTTCTGTTAGTCTTAAAGGTGCCACAGGACCCTCTGTTGCTTTTTATGGACATGACAGCTGGTGAGAGAACATAATGAAACCACATTCATTAAGCACCCATCCAAGATATCCCCAAGCGCTTGCAATGTAATATTACCCTCACTGAGAGATTACAGAGCAGAATCTCTCCTGCATCAATTCTGTGCTCAGCATAGGTGTGAGAGCAGAGTGTCGGAGACATGGCTCCTGACACCAGTTAGAGCTGCTGACAGTCAGCTGTAAGATCTACTTAGGGTCTTTTAACAGAGCGTATATTTGTAGAGAATAGACATAGCAAAGCAGAAGTCTACCCACCACCTGCCCACTCCCTATGGCAAGCAAGCGCAAGCCCCACACCATGACACACTCATGACTGCAGAGAGTTCCCTTCTGAATGGGGAATTTTGCACTGTTTGTCTGTAGCCAGCCTCCTGAATAATGCTTTGGACTTAAATGTCCATAAGTCATACATCTGTAAAGACAAGGGACCTGATCCTCCATTGGATTTCATTGGATTGCTTTCAACTTTGTACATGAAATTCTCAGCCACCTTTAATTAAAAGGGAGCATCTCCCTCAGGAGACAACCTTTTTTGTTTATCCACTGAGTGGTTACTTAATATAAGCACAACTCCTTACTTCAGTGGGATCTCTGCAAAGGCTTATGCTAATGAATCCCAATCCAAGACTGGGTCCAATGTTAGTGAACAGGAAACTCTGCACTCTTCATAGTTCTGTGCATTGTCTTAAGTTTGGTACTGGAAATCCAGACAAAGTACATTGTGATGTCATTAGTCAAGATTGCCTAAGTGCTTTCATTTTAAAAGATCATTTTAGTTCTTCACAATTTAGGTTTAATTTTGCAATTTTTTTCCCACGTACAGTATGTCTAAAGCATAGATTAGTGTTTTCGAAACAAGTGAATTTTGGTATATTAAAATATGTTTTTACTAAGGATTTGTATTTCAAGTATTCAAATTGGAAGAATTTATTATTGTCAGTGTTCCACAAACAAGACAACAACTTTGGGTACCCAGGAAATAGGATTTCATCTTTTCTGGGATTGCTTTCAATTTTGTACATGAAATTTTTAGCCACCTTTAATAAAAAAAATCCATTCCCAACCACATTTTGGTGGTCCTTGAATAGTTGCTTAATACGAGTTTCATTGTATTACTGATGCCTGTTCTCAGATTATAACGAAAAAGTGCTCATATAACTGACCATTTAGGGCTAATCTGAGCTAGTAATATGGATGTCCCAGCCAAGTGAAAAAACTACAGTGCATCTTACTATCTGGTACCATGCAGTGGTGGTATAAATGTGTTGGTCCCAGAATATTAGAGACAAAGTGGGTGAGGTAATATCTTTTATTGGACCAACTTCTGTTGGCAACAGAGAAGTTTTCGTGTTTACACAGAGCTTCTCTTCAGGTCTGTGAAGCATACTCAAGAGTGTCATAGCTAAATACAAGGTGGAACAGATTGTCTAGCATAAGTAGTTAACACATATTTCAAGAGCCCACTTAAGGTGAAGTGGCCTCCAGTCACAGGGAGGAAAGGAAGTGTGTGTGGGGGAGGAAGACAGCTGGGGGGATTGTTAATGGGTCATGGGTGGTGGGTATAATAGACCAGAGGAGGCTAAGCCTCCCTTAAACCAAGCCCTGGCTCCACCAAGCCAGTGGGAGGTGAGAGCTCAGCTCTGGCTGGAGGGCTCTGAGGGATGGTAGGGGCGGGGCCTGGGGCAGAAGGAGTGGGACTGCATGGCTAGCCTCCCCAAAGGGGGGTGGGGGGGAGGGGGCTCAAGTGCTGCCCATGTAGTGGGTTATAGATTGCTGTAATAAGCCATAGATCCAGTGTGTCTATTCAGTCAATGATTTTGTGTGTCTAGCATAGTTATGAATTTAAGCTCCCAGGCTAGTCTTCTGAAAGTTTTGTGCACGTTTCTTTTGAGAATGAGGATTGATAGGTCAGCTATATAGAGTGATTGCTCTGTGAAAAGTGTTCACCCACAGGTGATGTGGTGTTTTTGTCTTTCATCATTTTCCTGCATGAGTTCATTCAAGAGCGTAGTGATTGTTATTGTTATTGGGGCATTTAGTGCACTGGATGAGATACACCGTATGCTGTGATATGCATAGAACCCAAGGACATTGAGAGGTGTGTTATGGAGGATGTTGTTCATTGTTGCTGTGGAGATAGGTCTCCAGGTTTTGCATCTGTTGTTCTGGCAGGGTCTGGTACTGCTTTGGGCCAATGTGTCCTGGTTCTGTGGGGAGCTTGCTTCTGATAATGAACTTGGAGAGGTTGGGAGGTAGTTTGGCGGCCAGAAGAATGGGTTCAGGAAATATTTCTTCCAGGATGGAGTCCCCATTGAGTATGGGTTGTACTTGTTTGATGATACCTCAAATGGGTTCCCAGTATGGGATGGTAGGTAACAACTAGCTGCCTTTCCTCCCACTCCTTTCTCTTCCCCTTATGATTGGAGAGGCATCAATAGGCCACTTCACCTTGAATGATCCCTTGAATATGTGTTAACTACTTATGCTAAACACTCTGTTCCACCTTGTATTTAGCTGACATGCTGTTTCCCAGGCCTGAAGAAAAGCTCTGTGTAAGCTCAAAAACTTGTCTCTCTTATGAAAATAAATTGGTCCAATAAAAGATATTAACTAACCCACCTTTTCTCTCAAATATCTGGTACTATGTACTTCTAGTTTACCAAAATGATATTTCTCCTGTATTTCACTGAGAAACAGAAATCTGCATAGACTTTGGCAAAAATTTATTAATTTCAGTTTGAATAAACTTAAAATAATTAAATTCTGGAGGCAAACATTTTAGCTTCTGGTAAATTCTTTTGTCAATGGATTCTGATGAGGACACCGAGCCCTGGAATTTCACCATATACATTTTTTAGTTTTCTCTAGATTTAGACGGAATGCTTTACACTTATGACTGAACTTTTGAATTTCTGTTATAGAAGATAGCCCTGAAAGGTTACAGTTAATAGCATCTTGTCTGATTTACACGTGGATGCAGGAAAAAAAAAACAGTACAGTGAATCTCTATGAACTAAAACATGAATTCATTTTGGACACATTGAGACTTAAAATCAAACATACAGAATAGTGACTTTCCTGCCCCAAACTATTATGTAGTGTTGCAATGAGCTGTTAAAAAGCTATTGTATTTCATCGCAGGAGTGGCTGCATTTCAGTTGTGGATGATGCAGTGCATTTTAGTGGTTATATAGCTGCTTATAGTTCCAGTTCAGCAAAGGGACTACCAAGCTTGCTGGATCAGGGCCTAAATTTGTAAAATCATAGAATCATAGAACTGGAAGGGACCTCGAGAGGTCATCTAGTCCAGTCCCCTGCACTCAAGGCAGGACTAAGTATTATCTAGACCATCCCTGAAAGGTGTTTGTCCAACCAGCTCTTAAAAATCCCCAATGATGGAGATTCCACAACCTCCCTAGGCAATTTATTCCAGTGCTTAACCACCCTGACAGTTAGGTGCTGTAGGATCGTTATTTATCATTAATCCCTAGATGCTACAATGATATGAATACGCAGATACATATGGTTTTTCATTTAAAACTATAGCCTCAAATATTTCATCATGTTGTAAAAAAACCTCACCTATTTTAGTTGCACTGTAAATATTTTCTATTGGAAATACAACCCCTAATCCATACAACAAGACTTTTGCCAGAGCGGGAATAAGCTGAGTAGTTGTTACTAGAATATTCACACAGTTTGTCCTGCAAGAAAACAAAAACAGACATCCTTAAATATGCATGTAAATATATTAAAACTAAATAAAAGGGGAAAATTAACCATCCTCCATTCTCCCCCAACAAAACCTCATCACCATAGTCTCAAAGTACTTTAGAAAGGGAGGGAATCATAAGAAAAATTTACTCACCTCGTGCTGTAACAATGGTTCATCAAGATCTATCTCCCTATGGGTGGCTCCACTGTAGGTGTGCTTGCATCCTTATGCTGCTGATCAGAGAACTTTGGTAGCAGTGTCCATTATGCCCCATCATGAGGCTGTCTCTCCTCGTGCCCCGCCACGAGGCTAGCCAGCATGTGCAGGCTAACCCCCCCTCAGTACCTTCTCTACCGCAGAGTCATTGGCAAGAACTCCAAAGTAGAGGGGAGGCAGGTGTGTTGTGGAGCACCCATGGGGGATACATCTTGAAGAGTCATCGTTATTGCACAAGGTGAGTAACTTCTTCTTCGAGTAGTGTCCCTATGGATGCTCTACTTTAGGTGACTTCCAAGCAGTGTCCCTTCTGGAGGGCTGGGGCTTCAGAGTTGGGTCAGTTACAGATGACAATACTGTGGAGCCAAAGATGGCATCGAAGGCAGGTCCCCAGTAATCGCATGGTATTCCGTGAAGGTATGGACTGACGCCCAACATCAATGCTCTACAGATTTCTGAGATAGGGACATTCTTGAAAAGGCAACAGAAGAGAACGACCCTGTGGAGTGCATACGGATAGTCTCTGGAGGGGTCATGTTATGAATCTGATAACATTGTCTAATGCAGCCCGACACCAATTAGAGAGTCTCTGGGTTGATATTGCTAAGCCCTTGGATCTTTTCACAATAGAGAGGAACAGCTTCAGCGACTTCCTGAAAGACTTTGTCCTATCCAGATAGAAGGCTAGTGTGTGTAATATAGTCTCCCTGCTGTCATGGTGAGGCTTGGGGTAAAAAGTCAGAAGGTGAATCACTTGGTTTATATGGAACAGGGCGGTTACCTTAGGGATGAATTTTTGGTGCAGCATGAGCGTAACCTTGTCCTGAAAGAATACCATGGAGGGTGATGTGCCATTAGAGCCGCTATTTCTCCTATCCTCCTAGCTGAGGTGATTACTACCAGGAAGGCCCTTTTCTTCTACAGGTATGTAAGCGAAAAGGTGGCCCTGGGTTCAAAGGGCGGACTAGTTAGGCCTTTCAACACCAGGTTTAGGTCCCATGTAGGTGTGGGGTGTTGGGATTGTGGAGAAAGGTTTACTATACCCCGGCGGAATCGTTTAGAGGTTGGGTGTGATAGCATTATGTACCTTTCTACTTGTTGGTGGAAGAGAGAGAGACCCAATTTTTTTTTTTTTAGAGTCAGTACATAATCTAAGATCTTTGGAAAGGTTGAGGATGTCAGGGAGATTTGTTGGGAATTGCACCAAATCCGAAACCTGAACCACTTCTGCAGGTAAGTACGGCATGTTGAGGGCTTTCTATTGTGTAGAAATACCTCTTGTACCTCCTTTGAGCAGGAGTTCTCTAAGCATTGGAACCATGAAGGAGCCAAGCCTTGAGGTGAAGAATGCCCAGGTTGGGATGCAGAGTGTGTCTTTTGTTCTGCGAGAGGAAGTTTGGAGTGGATTGGAGAAAGATTGGTGGGCACGTTGCCACTTGTGACAGGTAAGGTTACCAAGTCTGTCTCGGCCAAGTGGGATCAATCAATACGATGTATGGTCCTTCCCTTTTTATTTTCAACAGGACTTTCGACAGTAGTGGGAATAGAGGAAAGGCATAAAGAAAGTCCCTGTCCCATGGAAGAAGGAGAGCATCACCTAGGGAGTGTTGTCCTATCCCTGCTCTGGAGCAGCAGTGTGGACATTTCTTGTTCAAGTGAGCAGCGACCAGATCTATGGTCAGTGTCCACCAGCATCTGAATAGGTCGTAAAGTTTATTTCCATTCATGGGTTTATTTCCATTCATGATTGTGAGGGAACTTGCAACTTAGGATGTTTGCTATAGAGTTTTGTGTGCCCAGAAGGTAATCTGCTGATAGCGTAATGTCGTGGGAGATGCACCAGTTAGTTCCATAGCTTTATCGCTTCTGAGCAGATGGAGGGCGACCTGGCTCCTCTTTGTCAATTTATGTAATACATGCATGCTATGTTGTCTGTTAGGACTTTGGTGTGTGATCAGTGGGAGGAAATGGGTGCAGGCGTTCCTGAACGCCCTGAGCTTGAGGAGTTTGATGTACAAGGATATCTCCATGGATGACCACTTGCTTTGTGTTGTAAGGCCATTTAGATATGCGCCCCATCCTATAAGGGATGTGTCGGTGGTGAGAAGCAACAATGGGGAAATTTTCACAAAAGGAATCCCTTTGCAAACATCTGCTGGGTCCTTCCACCAATCCAGGGATATATTGACTTTGGCAGGCAGAGACAGAGGTTTTTCTAGTCTGTCTTTGTTTGGTCTATACACCAAGCTGAACCACACCTGGAGACATCACATGTGAAGCCTGGCATGTGGCACTACCCACCCATGTGAGTATACCCACAGCCATACACCCAAAGAGTTAGAGGCAATGTCTGGCTGATATTTGAGGACTGTTTTGTTCAGTTTCTATGACTGGCCAAAGAGAGGAACCATATTGAGGCAGGAGCGCTCTAGCTTAAAATGAGTCAAGGTTAGCCTCTATGAATTCCAGGCACTACACTGGAGTGAGGGTTAATTTCTTGGTATTCATCTGTAGGCCCAGTGCCATAAACAAGGCTACTGCAGTTTCGGTAACCTGCAAAGGAGCGGACTCTGAGGAGACAATCATTCAGATGGGGTAGATCATGATCCCCTGGGAGCATAGGTGAGTGGCTGCTACTGAGAGAACCTTGGAAAACATTCTCTGGGCTAATGAAAGCCCGAAAGGGAGTACTCTGTACTGGTAGTGGTCTTGTCCTAGGGTAAATCAGACAAACCGTTTGAGGGATGATAGGATTGAGATATGAAAATAGGCATCCTGAAGGCTGAAAACCAGTCTCTCCATTCCATGCTGAAATGATCGTTGCTAGTGTGACTATCTTGAATTTCTGAGTTTTCACAAATTTGTTGAGCGCTCAAGGTCGAGTATGGGTCTCCAACCTCCCTTCCTCTTGGGTATTAGGAAATAGCGATAACAACAGACTTTACCTCACAGCTGTTGGCTATGGCTCCTAGCTGGAGGAGATGATCTATTTCTTGTTGTAGTAAACTCTCATGAGAAGGGTCCATGAAGCGGGATGGGGAAAGTTGTTGTGAATAGGGAAGGGAGATAAAATGAATGGAAAACCCATTGCGAATAATTTCCAAGACCCATTGGTCTGATTTTATGCATTCCCATGGGTTGCAGAATGTTGCAAGACGGTAGCCAAATGGATAGAACAGCTTGATCAGATATAGTGGTTGAGGGGAGTGGCCTGTCGACACCTTGACCAACACGTCAAAATTGGTGTTTGGAGGTGGATGAGTGCAATGTGGAAAGCTGTGGGCCTGATGGTTTATGCTTGGGGAACCTAGATTTCTTCCTCTGATGTTGTAAAAGCGCTGGGTTGAGTATCGAGAGGTGTGTGATCTGTGTTGGGTCTGAGGACTAAATTTTATCTTTTGTCCTGGCGTGTAAATTCCTAATGAGCAGAGATTGGCCCTGGAATCTTTCAGGGTATGGAGAAAGGTGTCCATTTTCTCTTCAGAGAGCTAGATGCCTTCAAAGGGAAGCTCTTCAACAGTTGATTGCACCTCTTTAGGGAAGCTGGCATGTAATATTTTTATCAGCCTGCTTACACGTAGGTATCACTGATGCTGGGGTCTGCCATATGGTTTTTGCAAGGTCTTGCCGAGCCTCCTTGATGTGGAAGGGTATTTTAGAGGCCTATGAACAGTGTAATATGTCAAGGAGTTTGTGATGGGTGTCCTTGACTTCCTCCAACTCTTTTTCCCCACATACTGGAAAAGCCGGAAATCATCAGCTAAGCACAGTGGCAGGGGCATGAAAGCTTAAACTGGGGTGGAGGAGGAGATGTTGGTCCTTGGAGTCACCTCTTCCTCAATTCCACCCTTCTGCTCTCAGCAATCTCCTCTGGGAGTTCTGAGGTTCTAGACGCCGTAGCCGAGGGGGAATGTCACAAGCAAGGCTGGGAGCTCGAGAAGTGTGGGGGCAATAAGCAGCCCAGGGATCCCAGTACAGCCACTGGGGCTGTATACTCGGGGAGCCTCTTGGTAGTGGGCACAATAGGGAGCATGGGAGTAGTGGGAAATGGTCTCCTCTGGCTCACTGACTCCTCACTCAAAAGTGGGGGTGCATGGCAGGATACTGGAGAAGACTCCCACATTAGAGGGAGACACTGTGCCGAGGTCCCGGTGCCAAGAATAGGAGAGTCTGGTATGCTAGATACCCAGAGGTCTCTTGAGTGCTGAAATGCCAGCGGAGCTGACCGACCCAGTGCTGTTGGTGGTAAAGAGGGTGTTGGGGATCTTGCCCACATAGATCGATGATGGTGCCAAAGGTACACCGTATACCGGCGGCATCTTCTTACTGGAGTGCCGTTCGCTCCTATCTTTGTCAGTTAGTTCTGTTGACTCAGTGCCAGTGCCCATTAGGTTCTTAGGCCTGTCAACGGTACCTGCCACTCCAGATCTTTGTGAGCTGGGATTGTCTCGGTGCCAATAGTACTGACGATACCAAGCGTGCTGGAGATCTTTTGGGGCTAGCTTGGGGCTCACTCTGGTGACTCACTGTTTGAATGACTTTACAAGAGGGGTCTGTGGCTGATTTCTTTGACCCATCCTTGGATGTTGAGGGCTGTGGGGAAGACTCGCATCTGCCAGGTGACACGCAGTGAGGGTTTAGGGAGGGTTGGATGGCTGCCTCAATGGAGATGATCTTCTGTCTCAACGACTTGTCCTTGTGAGACCTGGGTCTGAATTGCTGGCAGTGACCACAATTTTATGGGATGTGGTCTTCCCTGAGGCAGCGTATGCA